TATCATACGTACGGGACTGACAAAGGCTATGATTTGTGGAAAAACGGGTGAAGGCGTGAAAAACAGTGATTTATAAATAGCTAGGAATATATAATTATAATATATTAAAAAGCTGGTGAAGTCGTTAACAGTGATTTATAATAGCTAGTAATATATAATTATAATATACGATAAGAGATTATTATATGTAATCATTTTCTCATCCACGATGCTATAATGAAAAATTTTCTTAATGAAAAATGCTTAAAAAGATTTTTCAGTATATCATTGTGATGTGACTGCTAAATTGTTCAAATATAATAATTAGAACAAATTTTCAACTTTGTAGAAAGTTTTAATATTTGTAAAAATATTTCTTTCGGATGTTTGGGTGGATTGCCTGAACATTGATGAGAATACGCTCTGTAGTAGCGAAAAAGTAACATGTGCTTGAAAGATTGGTCAGTCCTGTTAGGTTCTGGGTAGCTTAGTGGTTAGACCAGTCACCCGGATTTGGAATCCCGTCTCAAGGTTCCTTAAAAATCCACTTGGTCCCAAATAGTAGAATTCGATCAATATAATTTTTTTAAGGTCATATTTAGATTTGTTCGTTTTCAACAAAGCCAATTTTATATTACAATCTTCGAAGACATCAAGGAGACAGTCTTAAGCCTATTCTGACCTAGGCGTCATGTCCTCCGAGACCGACTCTGACACGAGCCGACGAACTGTCGTTTAAAGCAATTTAGCAAATTGGGAAGCTCTCTTTTTTATACGGCAATTATGTAAATGGCGGGATTATCTGAATGTGGGCGGGTGCTGCGGGCCACACCCGCTCTCCCCTTTCGTCTCGAGGGCTTCCTTAGACGCCTAATGACCTGAGAACAGTGATTAATTGTCGAACGACGCTCAGAATACCCCCCGTTAAACTCTCTCAGTGATTTATTTGATTGAAAAGTATTTTCCGGATATCCATTAAGGGCTTATTCATTTCGCTTGTTACGATCTTTGCGTGCTAATCATTCTTAAATTATATTTATGTTAATAAAGTATCTGACTTAATTTTAAATGGATAGTCAATCAATTAGATTTTTAAAAGGCTTCTATTGCTCTAAAAGTTTAAGACCCACTGATTTAAAGATAGATATGTACATAGAAGTTTTTAATACTTTCTATCACAATATCTGGAAAAGAAAAGAGACTTGATTCTGTTCTGTTATAAAAACAGCCTCTTTTTCGACGTCGAGCACAGCGTTCTTATAGCATAGAAATTCAATCAAATAAAAACTACTTACTTCAAAAGATTATAAATTTTTTATTTGGTTGACATTCATAGCGCTACTGTAATGTCGAGTTCGAGGTTGTTTATTAAAAAACAACATAATACAATAGGCTGTATGCAAAGAGGTATTGGGGTTAATGCTCCCTTGTACTTTTTCTGTGCGCATTTTTAGAGTTCCGTACCCAAAGGGTAAAAGGGAACAAGAGACTTCGCTATCAGTCTGTCTGTCTGTCACCAGGCATTATCTCATGAACCCTGAAAGTTAGACAGTTGCAATTTTAACAGATGATGTATTTCTGTTGCCACTTTAACAATAAATACTATAAACCAGAATTAAATAAATATTTAAAGGAAACTCTCATATAACAAATGTTTTTTTTTTGTTTTTCTCGATATTGATAGACGCTTGAAATATTTACAAAATTAACTATATAATGTATTTATAAAGGAACTTTAAATATATATAATTGAACCAAATTTAACAAATATTTAAGGGGAGCTTCGCTTCAATAAAAAACGTGATTTTTTGCTCGTTTCAAGTACGGAACGTCATCCTCGTGTCCGACTTGCATCTAGCCGTTTTTTTTAATCTTTATATTTATTTTTAACTAGCTTTCGCCAGCGGCTTCGCCCGCGTGGACCCTAGGGAAATGTTAAGTGGCATAAAAAGTATACTATTATCTAAGTCAGCTAACACCCTATCTGTATACCAAATTTCATCAAAATCCGTTCAGTAGTTTCGGCGTGATTGACGTACAAACATCCAAACATCTAAACATCCAAACAAAGAAACTTTCACATTTATAATATAAATAGGATATTATATATGATTATTAGGTGATTTGAAGGGGAATGGTAAATTATCAAGAAATTGTTCACGACTCCCCAAAAAAGACTATATTATTTCAATAATTAAATATGGTGAATGCAGTTTCATTCCAAAAACAATATATATTTTTTTATTATCTCAACATATACTTATAACTAGACGTTTCCCGCTAATTCGCCCGCCTAAATAATAGTCTAAGTCATGATGTAACTTTCCGTAGGTAAAAGAATTTTAATTTTATCTTTTTATTATGTTAGTATAGATTTCACATAAGTGAGATTTCAGTTTAAAACTGTACACACTAAAACGAATACAATAAAAGTAAATTATTTAGATGGAAAAAAAACGATTATCAAAAATTTACTTAAAAATAAAACCACTAATTGTGCTATCACGTATTCGGTTGATAGATCAGACACACACACACACACACACTAACTAGGTAAATAATATTTCAACTATATGTACGAGTATTTCTCAATTATTAAAAAATATATTTAAGATTCCCAAGATTCTCTCTCACAATTAGGTCTTTAATGTATTATGTCACAAAATCTATCTATTCATTTAGTGTTTTAAAGATGTAAAGTCTCTAATTTTGTTTGTTTGTAGGGAGTAGGTAATCTTCGGAAATATTGACCCTATCATGAAAACTCTTTCATGTAGGGAGCTATATGATACGAGGTTTCTATAGGTTTATAATACACAAACGCGGGCAAAGTCGCTGGAAAACAGCTAAGTAGAACATGAATAAACTAGCTTTCCGCCAGCGTCTTCGTCCACGTGATCCTGTACTATACATGTAAACCTCTCGAATCACTCTATATACTGATGAAAATCGCCACAAAAACTGTTGTGTTGTTTAAAAGATATTTGCGAAAAGACAGCGGGAAGCGACTTTGTTCTTCATGGAACTGCGACTCGAACCAAGCCATGGAAGTCCTCTATATAAATTATTATAGTTTTATTTTTAAACAGACGAAAAAATAGACGCCTAGAAAGATAGACCTTAAATGTGTTCAGATAATGTTTTAAATGTAAATTCAAGTAAAATCACATATCTGATCGTGAGTTATCAATTTTAAGAATTCTATCTATTTCTCAAAGAACTAAGTACTTGACGTGATGACCATGGGATCATTGAAAGTACACCCTTTCAAATATATATATATATCGATCCAGACCTCTTTGAGTAATCAGGGATAGAAATGCATATGTCGTCATTTTGGCCATTTTAAAAGTTTGCTACATTGGTATAGCTGGTATCGGTATAAGCTTTGCCATAATTCAAAATTTTTAAAGACCGTGTATGATAATTTAATTGTCTTAAGTAAGTTAGGACGCTTTAAAATCCCATTTCAAAAAGGATACAGTGGGCAAAACCCGGTCAACGCGTATTAACGCATAGTTCCGTGAGACGCTTGACAGATCTTGAACTTTCAAAAGTTAAACTGGCCTAGACACATAAAGAAAAGCTTTTTTTATCACGTTCTAAGCACTCAACTATGGATATTACATGTTTTTGGAAAAATAAAAATAAAGTTTAAGTGTGCCATGTCTCTATAAACGTAACATTTACTGCAATTTATTTAATGACCTACATGGTCTAGTTTCGGCTGTTTAACTCGACATCAACGTATGTAATGTTGTCTAACTTGAATACCATTTCAAATAAAACAGATTTTATAAAAGAAAACTTTACATATGTAAACATATTGTTATACCATTTGTTTTTAAAGTGCCTATTCTTAAAAATATTCGAAAGAAACACGCATAAAAAGCCGCCAATAACTCAAAATAGATTTACCGTGCTTAGTATCCTCATCATCGTCTATATTCAGTTCTCTCTTGCACTGCGTAGGCACAGGTGACACTAGCCAATTGCGAGGTTTCTTCGCTGGCGGGATTTTATCCTCCAAAGCTGTGATATCCACCTCCACGTCATCCGCATCTTCCGACTCCCCGGGCTCCGGCGGAGGCGCGGGGGCTTCGCCACCTTCTAGTGACTTGCTCACGAAGTCCGCTAGCCGCTCCATCACCATTACTGCCGACAACACGCGTCGCCGCGCGCGGCCATCGCTCGCCACGCTCTACGTACTACGGCTCGTAGTGACAGCTCTTTCATACGCCCACACTACCGTACAAAACTCTTATCAAAGCAAATACACACCTATTACGCGTTAATAAGCTCGATTATCCAATGTTCCGTTCTCAAAGGCGGTATTTCAAGCTCCGCCTAGAATTCGCGCAGGCGCCCGCCCTGCGCAACGACGCGCCTGATGGAGCAGTGTGTAACACGCCTACATTATCGTTATGTTGTGGATGAATCTTTAATATAGTCCTATTTGTTCGCGTGTGAGGTTAGGAATAGGGACATGAGTGGTAGACATTTTGTAGGATCGATCAGTGATATGGTGTTAATGGCTATGGTAGGGATTCGTGATTATTCACTTTGTTATACTTCTACAATAACAAACGGTAAGTCAGTAGTAAATTAATATTTATATTTCTGTTTACATGAAAAATAAACTATCTAAATTGCTGGTACATATAATTATCTAAATATAACAATTACAAATACAAACTATAGCTAATAATTTTAATTTAAGTACTTACTGACGCTTTTTTGTAATGTAATGCGTTTCATTAAATATTAATATTTGTTTCCCGTAAAGAATTTCAAAGCGATATTTTTGTAACCCTAAAAATTCCGTATCTACTATTTCTGTCCTCTTTGTCGGTTATAATGGGACTTCACATCTGAAGGACCTTAAGTTATCAGCTTATTTTTAATTATGGCTCAAATACTTGCATTTATAACGCAACTAAACGCATTAACAGTTTATAACTATCACGTAATACCCATAATTCACATAATCCTCTGCACACTAAGGTGCAACCTATTTTGACCTAGATAATGGCTGCTGTGACACCGAATCCGAGTCGGAATTTATCGTTAGGATGATTAAGAAGCGCTGATATAGCGCAGGCGAGCTTCGCACGTTTGCCGCCAAGCGCACGCTGCAACGTTGCTCCCACCAAGCCATCAGAGTCCGCCGAACCCCTCACCGTCCATTCGTCAGTGTGCCATTCATAAGCCAATGTAGCCACAGCTTTTCTTATCGCGAATCCAACCTGTTAAATGAAACGATTGTTTACCTACGGTAAAGTGCAGTACTCTGTTAGGTTTGCCGACCTATAAATAATCTAAATACTTTTGAAATTAAAATCGTTCGGTGTGCCCATAAAAATGGTGAAATGGAAAGAAAAACGAGTAAGTCGCCATGAGCTATGGTCCTTTTCGCCTATACAGGTAAATAAAATACAAAACTAGTAAATTATGTGCCCATTCAATATATAATATATACTTCGATTATAGGACGTAGAAAGTTAGGTAACTTTAGATAGACTATACGTTCGGGGTAAACTTGACGTAAATATAATTTAACACAACACATTCATATTATAATAGAAATTGGAGAACAAACCGGCGGCATTATTAGTCCTCGGGTAAACTATAAATAATCTGAGTCAAAGATCCTGTTTCAAATAAAAATAAATCTGTAAAACCCTTTACCTCAAGCATAGCAGCTACGGTGAGGAAAGGCTTGATGACGCGCGCGTAGCATAAGTCGAGCCCTCGGTTGCCGAGTGTGGCGCTGATGGATTGATCCTCTGACGCCCAGCGGCCGGCACCAGACGCTGAGCTCAATTCAACACCGTGACCGCGTGCCACTACTTCAGCACCAAGCGATATTTGCTCTGTGATCGCCTGTAATTCCACAAAAGCAAAATTCTTGGATTGAAAGAAGTTTTCTAATAGTTGCATTTCGGTTTATGAGTTTTCAATGAATTTAAAAAGTACATATATAATTGTTCCTTGCCTGTAAATAGTGTAGCGCTATAAATTCCCTGTTAACAGCGATGACTGAAGCTGTGAAACTATTGAAATAAGCATCAAAGATGCTTTCGAAACTATAGAATTCGGTGTCTGCTATCTGAGCCACCACGGTAGCCCGTGTGCTCTGAGTCGGGCCCACGCGGACCTCACAGCTCATCTGTCCACCTGGTGCAGCCTCCATAACAAAATATGGAATGCCAGTGGGTTTTTCCCTGTCTACATACGATAGTAACACTTTGTAGCCACCAGGAGATACTGAACTACACGAAAGGGTATGCCCGAGAATCCAATTGCTTTTCGGGCTCTGCTGCTTAACGGATACACAGCCGCCTTCAAAACATTGTGGGATTCTGTAACGTGCCGCATTGTGTATGTAGCGTAAAAGACCAGGATTAACAGCGCCGGCTGGCAAGTCCGGTTCTTTTTCACAGACACGACCAGTACGAGATCCTGTCACACCTGCGCCGGTTTTACCGCGATCGCCAGTCTTGCATTTTCTATTTTCAGTTTCTGGCAAGCAAGCACATTTCCTTTCAGGTGCTTCTCCACATGGTGTATCATAATTTCTCGGCGTATCAGGATTCGAGCCACTTTTTGCGTAAATAGTTTCGAACAGTCCTATTTTAAAAAACTTTAGAAGAGACGCTGAAATGTTAGTAGCACAGGTATCTTCTTTAGTATACATTTTTTTGACAAAATCAATGGTTGTATAAACAATATTTTTCTATTTATAAATATTATTGGTAATTGTAGTAACTATGTAAAGTAAAAGCTGGTAAAAGCTTTAATGGAAATGTTAAGTTAACGTCAAATTATGACACCGACGGCGATGGCGGATGAAGGTAATGAAACGTCATGAAGAAGGTTTCAAAAATAGAACCTTTAAAATAGTGGCCTGTGTTACTTGTCTTAAAACTACACTGAAATCTAAGAAATATCTGATTTATGTAATACTTACAAGCTTTGAACTTGCAATATATGTCAAATCTAAGAACTGTGCTAAAAGTATATCATAAAGCTTTTAAAAATGTAAATAAGAAATACCACTACAATATATACTCTAGTCTCTTTAACGTAATGCTGCTATAACGAGATATTCCTATGTGGTATAAAACAAAGTCACCTTCAGCTTTCCGCAGGCTGAAATTTTTACACCATACTTACAACGTATTTTATTGCGGTTTTTTTTCAGTAATTCAAGAAGAAGGTTAATTTACATAATCTAAGGAGGAAGGTTATATGTATTTTCCTCTTGAATCACTCTGTATATTGTTGAAAATCGAATTAAAATCCGTTGTGTAATTTAAATATCTCAACTGCGCTAAATACACAACGCGGTGTGTTACAGTGTTTTGAAGACAAAAATTTGCAAAATTTGTCTTGGAAGTTCTTTTAAATTTAAGAACTAGTACCTAGCGAAAAGTAACAGGTGCTTAAAAATTAGTTAGTCCTGTTGGGTTCGAGTAGCTCAATGGTTAAAGCAGTCGCCCGAATTGCGGAGTCTCATCTCGGTGTAACTGGGACAGGTGTTTTTTTTTTAATATTGTACATTAAAGAAATTGAAGCCTAATGAATTCTGAAGATATCGAAACAGGTGGAAATCAGTAGGTGCAAGATCAGGACTAAACGGCGGATGCATTACCACCTCCCAGCTAGGGATTGCAATCCGGATACTTCTAAATTCGAACATAACCGTCACCGTAATAGTAATAATGGATTAATAATAGTGGTTTTTTTAACATTTTTCTTTAAAAGTGAATATTTTTTTAAATTTTGGTTGATTGGCAAAAGATGTGTGCGGTCTAGCATTATCATGATTGAAAACTACACTCCTTCTATTGATTAATTCAGGACGTGCATCTTTAACATCAAAATTTCCGGATTAAACACTTAAGCCAAATTTGTGCTACTCTCACAGAAACTGCACTAGGTCCATAAACGTCACAAAATTATTCGCGACTTGCGTTGCTTTTTTGCCTTTTATCATAATAAAATTTTAAAATATATATAGTTCCTTTATTAGATTCACGCGTTTTAATAATAAGAAAAACAAATTAAAATCACACATTTTCCTAATTTGTATTTAAAGTTATCTTCTTTAAAATTTAAACTTTTTAATGATACCAAAACCAGCCAGATACAAATATATATAGCCAGAAAGATTTCATTACAAATTTATGCATACTATATGCGAAAAGACTGTCTCCAACCTAATATATACGGCAATTTCCGTTGTAGGTTGTAGTTGTATATAAATTTTACGCTTTAGCTATGCAAACTGCATGTAGAATGTGGGATATAGAATTCTTTAAGAATTCTGAACGAATTTTAAATTTAGAGATGCAGTTCAACAAAACTGTCGAGTTTGATATGTATCGATTACAGTCGATGTCGATATATCGCTTCACAAAGCAAATATATCAATATTTATCGATATATTTTAGGTCTTAAAAACAACTAGTTTATAAAAACCTTGCATTTAAATACTTTTTATCATAAATAAAAAACTTAAAAATGGTGGTGGCTACTGAATTTAGGGACCAGCTTAGACAGTAACTTAGATAGTCTACTTGCTAGAAGCTTTCACCTACTTCGTATAATGGTGGTTCCTGTACTTGTAGCATGTGCCTACCTACACCCAAATGACACTTTTCTCCGTTCACCATACGATATCTCTTGCTATGCTGTGCGAGCTTGTTTTGAAAACAAGCTTTCAGATGGTCTCTTTAAATAGATTGCGATTGCTTTGAGAATAACACATAATTATGAAATTAAGCACAAATTATAAAAACAAAAACTACTACTAATTTTAAATCAAAAAATCATGGTTACAAAATAATGTCACTAATATCACATGTGATGATGTGAAGATGCCGTTGAATGTATAAATTTAGACAATTAATATACATTTACTCATTCGATATAAGGTTGGTTGGCGATAAATTGGTATTATTGAATATCGATATAGCTGTTCCTCCAATATCGATATTTTTGGAATCAACATATGTATATCGGTTTTACGATATATCGTTGCATCCCTCGTCAAAATTCACTCTTATTAATTTACGCATACCTACTAAGTCTGTGATTTACTCTATGATTTAATTCTACGTTTCTCTATGGCCAATAAGGAAAATGTCATGAAAAATGTAAAAACATTCATCTAAGTGAGAACATTTTTTGTTTAATTTAGTGATTTATTTTATATATAAACAAGCTTATGCGCGACCAAAGTTTCTTTGGTAATAAAAAAACTTTTTTCAAAATCAGCATTTAAGGTATGTACACAGAATCATTACAAAATTGCTCAAATCAAAACTTTGATCCAAGGTTAAACAATGTCTTTGTTACATTGCAGAAGTTGATTTTTTCAACTCTACTATGGCGAATATAACTAATAAATTAATGGAACTGTTACGTAATATTAAATCTGATGCGGTCCCGAAGCCGCCGAGAGCAGAACCTGCAGAACCAGACTCTACAACTAATTCAACAGACGAACCTGTGACGCACGGTGATTCCCCTAAAACTCATAAGAAACAAACAAACGAAGATGATGATCACGAAGAAATTATATTTGGGGAAGAAGATTTTGTCAAAGAAAAGAAAACTAAGCCCAAATTCCCCTTCAAATCTAAGAAGAATAAAGGTGATAGCCCAAAAGAACATAAAGGTTCAAAGAATGATAAAAATGGAATGTACAGTTCTGTAAATACTCAAGGTAGGTTTATTCCTTATTCTTGGTAAAATATACTATTAAATGTTAAAAGATTAATATTTAATACTTTTAGTGTTTTAATAAAAGTGACTTATTTTGATAGATATATATATATATATTTATGTTGTGCTTAATCTATCAAAATAATATAAGTCACTCTTATTAAAACACTAAAAGTAATAAAAGTAAGTCTTCATTCAAATTCATTATATATGGAATTATTAATTTTAATATAATGGAATAAATGCATATAAAAAAAAATAACTAATTATAATATATTATTTTTCAGCCACTGGTACTGTTTATAATGTAGTTAATTCTAAAAATGTGCAATTTGGCAGTAATAATGTTTATTACATGTCAGCCACAAGTAAGAATGTCAAAAAAGGCTATGATGCTGGTGAAGATGGTGAAGATGAAGATGAAAACTATGTTCCTAAAGATAATTTCATTGTCCTGCTTATGGAATCTGAAATTGAGGTAGTTACTGAATTCTAGTTTATAAACTTTAAATTTTTAATGATGTTAATTTAAATAAAATCAATATTATTGACATATTAATATAATAACCTTTTCTAATTACAACATTACAGTAAATGAACCTTTTTTTTTTTGTAAATAAAATTGTACAAATGATTATTAAAAATATATTTTTAAATTATAATTGGCATTCAAATTTTCAGCCAACCTTCAAATATATGGATTTTATATCAAAAAATTTGGGCATTAATTGGAAAGCATTCTACACATCTCTGGGTTATCTGAAAGGATATATCGACACTCTAGTATTAGAAAATGGCATAATTGAGGTAATGTGACCATTTCTTTCATAAGATCTGTATAGTAAACTAAGTAGAGTTTTTGAAAATTGTCTTAATTTGATCCCAAAGTAAAAACTGAGAAAGAAAAAAAAATAAGTGACATAAATTTTTTGCACAAAGATGAAAACACTGGTTGCCATGATTCTGCATAATCATGGCATTAGATGATCTTATAAACAAATATACTGATCAGTTTCTACTGAAGAGAAGATAATGCTCACAAGATTAAGTGGTTCTATATCATGGCACCTACTGTTTCACTATTTAAAACAATGAATTATAATCCAAAAAAGAAACTGGCATGCATAGGTAAAAGCATAAAATAACAATTTTTATTATTTTAAATTAATTGATAGTATGAAATTAATTATAAACTTCTTTTCTTATTAGGCTCGATACAAGTTATTGGATGACTGGGTAAGAAATGATAATGATGGATCTCTAGGCCGTTTGGCTACATTACTGTGGGAAGCAGGAGAGAGACAGATTGTAAGAGAACTATCTTTAATATATAAGGAGAACAAAAAACAATGAATTAAGTGCATTTTCTATCATGTTTAATAGACTATGTTTACACAATTTGTTTTATAAGTTTCCTAGATAAAACAATTCAAAAGAAATACTTATTGACAGAGCTTAAAGAAAATTTTATTTTACTTTTGACTGGTCTGATATCAATAATGTTCAATTTAAATTATATTTTACAATTTTAACCCTAACAATGTGTAAATTTATTGAAACTAGTACAAATAGGTAATAGAATGAATTCAGTAATTTCAATAAATAATAAAAAAAAATGTTCATGGGTAATAAGAAATCAATATTGATGCAAAGTGTAGGATCTATAAAATTTTATATGTATGGTCTTGAAATAAACCAGTATTGTAAACTCCATGGTGTCTGTTGGTTTTCATAGAAAAATATTAAGTAGTTGTTTGCTAGATTTCAATGCATAATTTCAACACATTAATTTTTTATATGTTTCTAGCTTCTTGTTTTTATTATCTAACAATATTATCTTAAGACTCAGCACAAATCTGACTGAAAATCTGCCAAGTGTCATGAGTATACACAATGGTGCAAGGTTAAATATCATACCAATATTTACGATATTATAAAAAAAGTAGAGAAGGCAAATGGTTGCATGTGAGCAGAAATATCCCTTTGTGAGAAAGAGACAAAATCGCGGACACTGTTTCTATCTCTTTCTAGTGATTCATGCCGATAAATAGAGGATAGCTATTAACATTTCTTTCGTCAAATCATTCGACTATACTCACGACAACATTCTACGTTAATTACCTACTCCGTCAATTGGTGACGCATCACATAACCGCATCAAAACCAGTTCGGACATTTTTAATTTATCGCATTTTGAGTAACAGACAGTGTCGGCAGTTTTGTTTTCAAATATGTGTAGATACTTGTCTATGTTGAACTCGAGATTTTTTTGTTTAAGCTTATCTTTGAAACATTCAACTGTAATTTGAGAAGAACTTTTTGCATTTAATAGCCGAATTTTAACTATTAATTCAAAATTTAGCCTCGGTGGAACCGTTGGCCACTAGTTAAGAAAAATAATTATATATCGAAAGGAATGTTATTATTATATATTCTTATTATTATATTTGCATTCACAATGCTATACTGAAAAATTTCTTAATAAAAATGCTTTTCAAAATTTACTTTGTCCCTGGCGCTCTGAGATGGGACTTGAACAAAGTGGATTTTTTTAAGCATTTTGCATTATAATATTCTATATTCTGTTACTTTGTAATAGAAATGTTTAAACTCTATTTATAGTGATCGCAATATTTGATCATCTATAAAAGTCAAAATCGGATTTAAGCATGTTATTGCTATACACATCGTTAATTATTTATTAATTAAGGGATCCCTTCTTTTTGTATTTTTTATTCCTGATTTATTTTGGAATAACTAATATGGCATAATAATACATTGTCATTGTAATTATTTTTTTAGATGATTTTTTATCATAATTTTCATTCTTTCATACCTTTACGTGAAAGAACCGATCAACAGATTAGGTTAGAAATGTGACCAAAACAAAAAGCGAAATCAAGCGAGCGAAGCGAGCATACTGCGGCAGTGGTCTTATAAGTTATTTACGCATAGAAAAATCGGGCTTAAAAAATAAACGTAAGCTGGTATAGAAACGTTATGCTTGAAATTTTATGCGATTGGATAGGGAACTAATTAGCACAAGTATTCAGTAATTGGATAAAAAAAAAGATCTTTTAAAGCGAGAGTGGTCTGATCTACTTATTTTTACAAACGCTATTTTATGTTTTCTCAGGTGATCAAATTTCGCATAAATAATTGTATAATTGTTAGCTATATACAAAATTATGTTATCTTCTCATTAGCATGTTGAACAAATGCGTTTTTTATATTTAGAAATGTTTTCAACTTCGTATTTCGATAGATTATGTTCATAATAAATGATAAAAATAATTGTTTTACTTTAGCTCTAATCTATTTTTAATGTTGCTAATAAATATATATATTTTTGAGTTTTGTTTTATAGAATATGTACAATCAACAATACAAATTTAACTGCGGATATATTGTGGTAACATAACGTATGTACTTTCTTATAAAGAAAAAAAATTATACTTTAAAAAAACAATTATAGCAAATTGGATATTTTGGTTTGATACATATTAATTTTCTAAATGTATTGTTTGTATTTCATAGTTTTATATAATTGTTATTAAAGTTATATGATACAATTAATTGAAATTAAAGGTGCTTAAAACAGCAATTAGATTGTGATAAATAATTTACTAACTAAATAAGCATAATTTTTCATAATTGTTGATTGTTTTATATATATAGTTTAAATAATCATATTTGCGATATAAGTTATCGAAAACAATTGGACAATAAATTTGACCTAGTCATTCTTATATCAATAAAAATAAGTATCAGCAAAAACTTTAAATGCAACACAGTTAATAAATATAAATAGGTATATTTTTACGAATTTGTATTTTAGAAATAAGACTGTTTTTAATGAAATCAACAAAATATTGTTACGCTTTATATTTTAAAATGAATAAAATGGCTTTTGCGACAATGTTGAACTGTTTTTTAAGTAACCGTCTATTTATGATCTATAAAAATAAAATTACAAAATGTTTAAGCAACATTTTATGTATCGTTTGTTGACATGACACCGTAATTACCTTTTGGATGAATGATATGACACCAGAAAATATTAATAGAAGTATAAAATCAATAAATAAGATATACTGACGATATTCTAATAAACTTTGTAGATATTTAACCCTAGTTTCTAATCGTGTTATTAGAACCCTTGACATATGTATATTCTTGTAGGTAATCGTTAAACAGTCATAAATAAAGTAGTCATAACAATTACCATAATTAGCTTATCGATATTATTTGTGTATTATTATATCAATTGTAAACCTGACGAGAAAAACTTACATATAATACTCTCGTGTCACAGTTTTACCATACTCCTCCGAAACGATTTGACCGATTTTGGTAAAATTCTATATGATTATTCAGTAGGTTTGAGAACAGATCGTTATATATTTTTTATACCCCTGACTAGGTGGTCCACCCCAAATTTATAAGGCAAAACAACGTTTGCCGGTCTGTTAGTTATAATAAAAATAAGGGTGTACACATAAGTTGCTTGACTATTTTTTAAGATAATATTTTATTAATACCATAGTTGAGGGATGATGACTGAGATTTGTTTTACAGCCAGATTATTTTTTTATGTAATTAATAAATTACAGTGATACATTGAGTTGAAATGTCGCATGCATGACGTCACGCTTTGACATTTTCTGCGTAGTTGTGAACAGGGTTCAGGGATAGTTTTCTTAATAAATATTATAAATATAATTGATAATGAAGGAATTATTTAAAAAAAAAATCAAAAACTCGTATTCTATTTGAAATTATTCGTATTTGTTGATATCTAAGTTTCGAACTTTGCATATTTCAGTTTTTTTATATGTTAGTTAAAAGGAACGGAAACAACTATCTTTGGTCCATTAATTTTTTGCAAAAATCAACTTTTGATTGAATCGCCATCTAGTGAGGAGCTTTTTAGTGCTTTCTTTTTTTTGTTTAAATTCTTCCTCGTTGTAAAACACTACACAAACACTTTTTTGTATTTTGGGGCTTGTTATTAAAGAGGAATCATTTTTAAACAACTATCAAATATGCTTTTTCTGATAGAGAAAATTGACAATCAGAAATCGACCTATAAAAACAGAAAAAATTGAAAAGTCCCTTTTTTTATTAAAAAATATTTATGTTTTTATTTAACTTTTTGTGATTTCAGGTTTTTTTTTTGTTTAATTCTCTTTCTATAATGTTTATAATTTATTACAACAAAAATAAAAATATATAAAATTATATAAATTCTTGCCAGTAACTATGGATGACTATCCAATAATTATCCAAAAAAAAATTATTACTTTGATAATTACGAACCTTGGTTGTTACGTAGCGAGCCCTGATCAACTTTAATGTAAGTAATTTCTTGTTAAATTGAAGCAAAAAGAAATACGTACCTATCTAATACTTTTCTATTATCTGACTCACTGTCTACCTATAATTATTTAGTCCGTCTTTTTATTTACCGAGGCATCATGCCTATTATTAACACATGCATGCACATCAACAGAAGCCCTGTTATGTCTTCACTGCAGGGACTCAGGCCTTATAGATAGTAAGGAGGATGGGCAATAACCCACCACGCTGACCCAATGTGGATAGGAGGGTATTAACGACTGCAAACACAGCCTCGACCGACAGCTTAACGAAGCTCTTGATTAGCTAAAAATATTTTTTTGTTCACTCATCCCGTCCGATCTTTGCAACATCGATCGCGGGCCGCGGCACACAGAACATAATTATGTTCGTTAATATTAAATAATTTCGTAAATTATATTTGGATAATTGCTTAACACGGGGGTGCTACCATATAACTTATATTTTATGAGTTTCCGATATTTCGAAGTTTATACGCTTGGGTGTTATTTGCAGATATATCATTTATTTATTTATTTATTTATTTATTTAGTTACATGCTGACTTACAGACTAATACATCCAACACACCAGCAAGTTAAACATAGCAATAAAAAGAAAATTAAAAAAAAACAATGTCAGTTTAGTTAATTTTCAATTACATTTAAAAGATGTCAATATCATAATAATAACAAAATTATAGAATAGTACGCATGTCATGAAAATAATAAACTAAAACAAATGTCATATAAATTAAAATAATTTGTCAAGAAAAAAATAATAATAACAGTCACAGATAATCAATTAATAATCAATTACACAGTCAATATTGGTTAAGAAATGTCGAGCACTTATAGCTAATCGAGTAATACCATCAAAAAATACATCACTTTTTTCATGTTGAGCAAGGATGTCACCAATGAGATGCAGTGCACGTATAGTAGGTGCCTGCGCAGCGTATACGGTACGCGTGCGGGGCGTGGATAACAGCCGCGGACGCCGTCGCGGCGCCACTAAACCCATATTGCTATTAGAGATGCGTACAGGCACAAAAAAACTGAATTTCTCTAATATGTGAGGACAGTCAACTTTGTTATAAAGTACAGAAAGGTAATGCAGAACTAGGAGTAATTTTCGCCGTAGCGCAAGGGTGTCAATGCCCACCATACCCGATACAAATAGCGAAGGATATAGAAAAGGGTAGTAGCCGTAAGCCTTTTTGTACAGCCAACGTGCAAACTTCCGCTGGACCTTTTCGATCATAAGGGAATATTTATTTTCATGGGGATCCCAAATGATTGCCCCATATTCGAGCTTACTACGTACGTAGGCATAATATAACACGCGGGCCACTAACAGATTGTTAAACTCATTTGAAGTCCTAATAATAAAACCTAAAAGTTTGTTTGCCGCTTTACAGATAGATGTTGCGTGTTTATGAAAGTCCAATTTCGTGTCCAATGTCAAGCCAAGATCCTTAATTTCATTAACCCTATCTAAAGTTTTGTCAAGTAATTTGTAGTCAACTATAATATTATGTCGTTTTCGCGAAAAAGTGATAATTTTACATTTAGATTCGTTGAATGGCATACGATTGATATAACTCCATTCTGCAACAGAATTTATGTCACGTTGCAAATCGTTCGTATTTTCCACTTTATCTACCCCGACAAATAATTTTAGATCATCTGCAAACAAGAGACATTGCGCCACTGTAACAGACTTCGGCAGGTCATTTATCATTAATAAAAAGAGAGTCGGACCCAAGGTACTTCCTTGACTTACTCCAGATCGTGTATAAAATTTTTCCGACTCAAATATACCCAACCGGACAAATTGACAACGGTCCTTGAGATAACTTGCGAAAAATCTTAGAAGTTTTGGGATGAAACCTGCCTTCGCCATTTTTTGTAGCAATATGTCGTTATCTACCAGGTCGAAAGCTTTTTTAAGGTCGAAGTACGCCGCATCCACTTGTCTTCCCAAGTCCATCTGTTCGTAAACGTAATCGGTAAGTGTTATTAAGTTAGTGGTGGTCGAACGCGCACTGCGGAAGCCGTGCTGACTATTATCTAAAAGGCTTCTGATTTGTTGACTAATGTAGGTGTTTAATATTGATTCAAACACCTTAGCAAAGACACATAAGACTGCAATTGGTCGGTAGGTCGTGACGTCCTGTCCAGGTTCTCCCTTAGGAATAGGCGTGACACAGGAAAGTTTCCATTGCTTTGGATATGTCGACTTTTGTAAAGAGAGATTGTAGATAAATAACAAGGGAACACTTAAAACCAATATACAGTCCTTAGCTAAAAACACAGGAATACCGTCAGGGCCACCAGCCGATTTCGACTTCAGACGTTTCACAGCACGCTTTAGATCCACCATGTCTAATGTTGGAATGGTAATGGTTTTCGCATCACCATCCGAATAACCTACATAAGCTGCCTCTTCTGGATTAAGACGTGGTGTCACATTTGAAAATACGGAACCAAAATACCGTGAAAACGCATCAGCAGCTGATTGCCCGACTACTACTTCCTCCTCAAATGTAAAAGAGTCAATAATACGTCTCTGTTTGCGCTTATCTTTTACGTATTCCCAAAACTTTACTGGTTCGTCAATTATATTAACCTGTATACTTTGTATATGCCGCCGATAGGCACTGT